AATTGTCTTGGAACTTCTGTGCGTCTTTCTTTCTTCCCTTTCTTGCGGAACACTTGTTCTTTCCGAGCCTTTGCCTTTCTAGGGAGGCCTTACTGAGGCTAATTGCTAAAAAAAAAAAGGTGTCTGTCCATTTGCAACTCTAAAAGCAGAAACCAGCTGGTGACGCTTATGCAGAGCCTCGACCTATTGATACGGGGTGTGCGAGCAACAGCCTGCGGAGGCCAGAAAACACTGTTTGTCAAGCTAGGTTTGCCAGCTTTTCCACCACCCTGTGCTCCTGTGCACTGTGATGTGCAACCATTAGCACATAAAAACACTTCTCTCCACAACGCGAAAAGGACCAGCTGTTGACTGTTGCAGACGAAGCTATTGCTAAAGGCTTCGGAGCAGGCCTGGCTGGTCTCTTGGCAACCATATTTTGCTGTCCAGGGCCAACTGGTAACCTTATTACCCGTGGCAACTTGGGAAGTAGGCCACTCCCCCTTGCTGTTTTGTCACATTTCCCAAAAACCTGATTGGCTGGACAGTTTATAAAACCCCAACCTGGCGAGTACGTTTACTTGTTTTTCTGTGGTAGCCTCCTGCAAACTATCTCCACTTCGTTGCTCTCCTTCAATTTGTTCAGCAGCTCCTGCCTGTCCTTATTTGTCCCAATACCAGTTCGGTGCAGTGGTTGAGTGCGCGGACTCTAATCTGGGAGAATTGGATTTGATTCCCCCACTCCTCCACTTGCAGCTGCTGGATGACCTTGGGCAAGCCGTAGTTGTCAGAGCTGTTCTTGAAAAAGAGCAATTTCTGTCAGAGCTCTCTCAGCCCCACCTACCTCACAGGGTGTCTGTTGTGGGGAGGGGAAGGGGAAGGAGTTTGTAAGCCGTTCTGAGACTCCAAGCGGAGGGCGGGGTATAAATCCAATCTCCTCCTCCTCCACCAATTGCTGGCTTCCCTTTATTTAAGACTTTTTAGCGTACATTCTTCCTACAAAAGGACTCCACCCCCATTTCCTTCCCCCACCCGTGCTGGCTTGTCTCGACCCAGCTCAGCTGCTGGTCTCCAGCTCAGGTAGGAAGGGGGGAGGGCTTCCCGTCCCATGCCTTTGCCCTTGGGAGTGAACTCCATGAGGGGTGGAGAGGGCAAGAATTCGGGAGCCAATAAACAGGAAGGGACAAAGCTGCCTTTTGTAATGAATTGGATCGCTGCTCAGCACTGTCTCTGCTGGTGACCCTCCGGAGTCTTGGGCCATGAAAGGTCTCGGTCAGCAGCTGCATCCCAAAATCCTTTCAGCCGGAGAGTCCAAGGAGGATGTGCCTCTACTGAACTGCAGCCCCTTCACAAAAGGCTTGAGAAGAAATTAACAGAGGGGAAAAGCTACTTGCCCAGAGATAGGGCCAGAACTTGACTTTGGGAAAAGCTACTCCCCAGAGATGGGGCCAGAACTTGACTTTGGGGGTGATGGGTGGGAGGGTATCTTTTAGGGAAGACTCCTGCACTACAAAGGCTACTGGAAATGTCGTGGCTTGAACCTGGGACGATCTGCATGTGTTGTAAGCAGTGTTCCCTCTAAGCTGAGTGAGTGTGAGCTAGCTCACAGTTTTTTAGCCTCCAGCTCACACATTTTGGTCTTTGCTCAGGAAGGATGGCTCCCGAGCAAACTAATTTATGTAGTAGCCAAACCGCTCCCTCACAACTTTAATGCCAGTAGCTCACAAAGTAGAATTTTTGCTCACAAGACTCCACAGCTTAGAGGGAGCCTTGGTTGTAAGGTCCTCCATTTGGGGATCTGACCTCTTAGGGCACGATTCACTGGAACGCTTCCCGAGTAAAAAGGAACCGTCTGGCCTTCTCTTGTGGTGAGATGTTTCTGTGAAATTCTAACCGTGGTCTGTGGAGCCAGAACTGAACAAAGACTCCATCTCTTTTGGTGCAACATGTAAAACTACCATCCAGGTCACCTTTGAATCGGAGGCTGTCGAAATAAGATGTACGTGTACAGAACAATATTTGAACATTTCCCCCCACTGTTCATTTCTTCCTTCTCCTAAGGGAGTTGTACACACCAAGGAAAAGATCATGCTTACTCTTGGGGGGACAGAGGCTTAGAAACAGGGACACCGTGGAGGTTTGTAAAATTAGGCAAGGTATGGAGAAAGTAGATCTTGCTTATCCTCTCCCAAGATATTAGAACTCAGTGACATTCAGGGAACTTGACAAACAGCAGAGGAAGTACATAGTGCAATGTGCAATGAACTCGGGAACTCGCTGCAACAGGAAACTGTGCTGGCCACTGGAATTGAGCCATACGTGATGCCAAACAGTCTGCCCACTGAAGCTGCCATTTCCCCAAAGGGAACAACTGACCGTTGTAGCCTGGAGATGCATGCACAGGAAAGCTTATACCTTGAATAAAATGTTGTTGGTCTTCAAGGTGGACTCAAAGCTTTGTTCTAGCAGTAGGGTAGTTCCAGGTTTGAAGAAATGTGCCTTGCACACGAAAGTTCATACCTTGAATAAACCTTTGTTGGTTTTAAAGGTGCCACTAAAGGTGGACTCTAAACCGTAGGAGGGGTTATTCTCGAAGAGGCATTACGAAGTTGGCGCAGCCTTCCCCTTTCCTCCTCCCGCCTACGCCACCCGTCTCCGTAAGGCCTCTTCGAGAATAACCCCTCCTCCCGCGGCCAATACAGAACGGGCCTAGCCAGTTTCCCCGAGCCTCGGGCTGGAGTGAGCGCTCAGCCGGGCCAGGGTGAAGGGCAGCCGGCGACAGTCGGAGGACCGATGCGGGCCTTTTCCGACCCCAACGGAAGCCAGGTGGGGTTTCGTCCAGCGGGGAGAGCGGAGAGGTAAGAGGATTTGGACGGGTGTGTGTGTGGGGGGGGGAGTGGCAGCGTAGGAGGCGGGAGAGTTTCTGCACGACCCCCTCCCCAAATAAAAGGAGGCGCTTCGGGCTCTTCTCCTCCCCCTCATTTGGGCATTCCAGGACCAGGAAGTAAGGGAGATAAGAAAAGGGAGCGGAAGTGAGACGAGTGTCAGACTTGCACATGGCACTTGGGGAGGGGGCTTCTTTCAATAGAGAAGATCCGCCCCCTCCTCCCCTTGGTCTTTAGTCATGCCGGCTACATGACCACGGAAACGTCTTCGGACAGCGCTGGCTCTTCGGCTGGGAAACGGAGATGAGCACCGCAACCCTAGAGTCGGACTCGACGGGATTTCGAGCAAGGGAAAGCTTTACCTTTAAAGGCGGGGAGGGGGATGCATTTATTGAGTGGGGGCTTGCGCCGGTGCAAGGGCTGCTAAATCTCTGCATTCACCCCGGGGGGGGGCATAGAACTGCAGGTTTCACTGTGCAATTGCAAACGGAGACCTTGCAAATTGTAACACGCGATACCTAAAGCCTCTACTCGATCTCTCGTGCCCCCCCCCTTCCCACGTGCGCAGGATGCAGACAGAGGGGCCCCCGTGTCCCTGGACAGCCCGCCCCCCTTTGCATGACTTCGGAGGTTTCGCGGAGGGAGGCAGGGAGGGGCGTCCTCGTCGCATCCCCCCCCCCCCCCCGAGCCCC